CAACAACCCCTCACGGTTTTGTTTTCTAAAACGCGTCACTGGTAGGAGAAGACTCCCACTTCCTTATAAGGAAGAGAAGACTCCCTAGCCTCACCGATGTGGGATGCTCCTGCATTGCTACAGGAGCGGTGGGTTTAAGGACGAGGATTTGACCTGCCGAGGGAACACCGAGTCTGCTGACCCAACAATATCAAATGAAAATATTTTGAAATTGTTAAAGAAAATCAAAGATCCAACCATTTACAATGAGATCCTTGATAGTCTTGATGATGATAATGCTAAATTAAGTTACTTCGTTACGTTAAATTAAATTATAATAAAAATTTTGAATTAAAAAAATAAACAAACAAGAACTTTTAATTAGATAATTTGATACTAATATTGATATATTTTTTGCAAATTTTATATGATGTTTTTAAATTTATATTTTATTCAAAAATAAAAACATTATCGTTTTCTCAAAACCACATAAAATTGTATTATATCGACATGGATAAAAAATAAAACGAAACATTGAAATGAAAATGTGTCTCGATGCATTGCACGAGTACCCTTATAGTATATATATATATATATATATATATATATATACAAGCGGTTCACTTGGTTTAAACCACTAAGGATGTTGGGAACCGATACTCAAGATCACTAACACGAACACATCGACGATAAAGTAAGAATAGAAAAAACACACACAGGATTTTACGTGGTTCACTTGATCGGTTTGAGCAAGCTAGTCCACGACCACACTAGTAAGGATTTTATTGATATGACGGTTGGGATTTACAATTACATAAGATTGAATTTATAGAAGCAAAATAGGTTAAATTCCCTAGTGGGTCGGACCTAAAATCTTGAGAGTTTCCTTTCTCAAATATTTGGCCCAACTGCCAATTAATCAGACTCCATACCTTAACAATCTCTCGCTTGGAGGTTGATCAGCTCCACTGCCATCCATGTTCAGTAACTCCAGTCAACCCTTAACATGTATAAGTCCCTCTTACTAGTGCAACATCTTCTTCATCAATCGTCTAGAAGGTCAGTTCAAGTTATGCAAAGCTTCAACTTATCAATTGTCACCACCTTGGTAAACAAACCTGCAAGATTGTTGAAACAACCCACCATGACAAATGATAGAACAAATTCACAAAATATGATCATACAATACCATATTCTCCATACTAAAATCATAATACATTCTAAAGTATGATTACATGTCAAGAGAAAATATGGATTAACAAAAACTTTATCAGTTGTAACACTTTATTTGGAAGTTTTCATAAACGCATTTTAATCCCAATACGAGCTTCAGTGCTTCCTTCCAGTCAAAGGTTTGGAGAACTTTTACATGAGACGTAGGCTGGTAGGAAACGTTTCTTTATCTAGGTTTGATAATAGGGGTTTGGCAAAGGTGTTGGGTCGGGCATACCCAAAAACTATTCCTTACCAGATGGATTTCTTCATCGTCTGAGTTATCGTTTTCGGGTATATTCAAAGTTTTTGCTGCAACAGAAACATCTTCATCCATATATACCTCTTATAAAGTTTTTGACTGTTCCGGAGACTGGATCAGGTACTGGTTCGGAGACTGTCTCAGAGACTGGTTCAAATTCAAATCTTGAATCAAATAACTGTCATGCTCAACATGATTTTTCGGTTCAAAATATGAATTCCCACCAACACTACCAAGGAAGAAAATGTTTGGTTGATTTATTCCGACCAAACAATATGGATTTCCTCCACTACCACTAGGGAAGAAATAATCTGATTGATTGATTATGGTAGAACGTATGGATTTCCATTACTACCACCGGAGTAAAAAGCACCTGTTTCATTGATTCCAGAAGCACCATATGGATTTGCACCACTACCGCCGGATAACATACTTGGTTGATGGATTGCTGCACTTGATGGATTTCCAGACATAACCACCATCGTCGACAACAAATAGTGTCAACATCTCCGGTAAATTTTGATGAACAACTTTTTGGAACATCATCACATCGTCGTCGTTTCCTAACTCATATAACTTTTGACTGGAATTATTTTTATAAAAGAACCTGAAAGAACTATGTAAACTTAAACTTTTCGCAACACGTTTAACCAAACCAGAATGTGTTATTGGCGAAGGCAAAAGTAATATACTTATGGGGGATCCTGACGACATATACTCTAAGGCACTATTTTATCGTCTAGAATGAACCGTCACTTTGAACAAACACGGAAACATTATCACTTTGATGTGATTTCATATTTGCGTTTAAGGGTGAAAGGTTGTGATGGTAGATTGTGTTTAATGGGTTAAGAGTTGTGATGCTAGATTGTGTTTAAGAGTTCAGAGGTGTGAGAGTAGCAGTGAGAAAAATCTTCCTTTTTTCCTTTGTCAATTTAGAAGATATGAGAGTAGAAGTGATGAATAAGGTATGAAGGAAAATGAATGAGATGTTGCAAGCTATATATAGTGATATTTTGTGCATTAAAAGACAAAATATGGGTCAAATCCCCCTCGAGGGCGATCCTGGGGTAGGTGGGGGTGATCCCTTCTTTTAGAAAACCAGATTTCTTGCCCCCAAATCAAATCCATGTGGCCCCCAAATCAATTTAGAAGATTTTTTTGGGTCATTGCCCCCTATGGCCAACATGCTATGGGGGCGTTATTTTGTGTGAAAATTATGAAAAACTGACTATTTTGTTAATACAATATATATATATATAAATCGATTATTTTGGTGATTTTTCCATGTTCTAAAGGGAAGTTTGAGATTGCTTATAAAAACAACTTATTAACTTATTCATATGTAACATTGGTAATAAACACTTTTCAGTGTTTGGATAAACAGCTTATACCGATGTTAAACTGGTAATAAGAAGTTTTTAAAAAAATAAATCATTTTAACTTATAATAAATTGATAAAAACTTTTATAAAAAAATATAAATTATTTTAAATAAACAATCCCAAGCAGCCTAGGAGGCTAATGAAAAAATTGCAATTGAAATAGAAAAGGTGTAAAGCGTAAATTGAGGGGATATGGGCTTGCGATTGCGACTCCTTAGTACCCATTTTTGAGTCTTTCTCGCATTTGGCATTTCATAAAACAAGAGAGGGAAGGAGGAAGTTAGGGAGAAAGCAGAAAACCAGTCCCGGGAGTGTCATTGCCATGGATGATAATCAGAGTGAGCTTATCATGGAGTTAAGGTCGAAGTTGTCTTCTTTTGAGCAAAAAGTAAAGGTATATTCATTATACTTTCTCGATTCATCGTTATTGTTTTTACCTTCGTTTTCATCATCAGTTTGCTTCACAGGAGCTCGAATCAGAGAACGCGAGATTAGCATCTCTTGTTTTAAGCTGCAGCTGCCACAAGGTTAGGCTGCGTTTTCCTCACAACCATTTTCTGCTTTTTTTTTTGTTTTCTGTTCTATCTGCAAGTCGCGATTAATAGGGTTTCTTGCCATGGGAGGCGTAACGATTTTGTTTTCTCCTTGCTTTCTTGAAAAGTACTTCAATTGAACTGTGTTTGAAGGATTTAATTGGGTGTATGTATTTTAAAAGTTTTGCTGCCTTTGTAATGGGAAACTAGTTGTGGCTGCCATAACTGGTTTTCTCAAAGGAAAAGATGTACAACCAAAATTTGGAGTATATATATTTTTTGAAGTATATAACACACACAGACGGTGGAACATTGATCTCTATAAAAGATTGGGTTACCAGTATAAAGTATGAATTGAGATTTGACTTTCGAAGCCAATTCCCAAAAACCTTGAGTTCATAAATTATTATGATTTATTATTTATGTTTGAAGAATGATCAGTATAGTACTTAGTAGTGCTTTTACATTACTTTGGGTATGCACTACTATGAAATAAGCATATTATAGTTTGGAATTTTCCGGTCTTTCAATCTCTTCAACTCAAGTTTTATCTCTAATTTAAAATTCATGTCGTAATAAATAATGAGAAATTTGGTGATGGTGAAGTTTTTGGTATTTCATATTCGATTGTGGAATTGTATGTCACTCACAATTGCTCTCTCTTTTAGTGTTTGATAGAAAGGAAAACATTTTTCTGTTTGTGAGTAAGACTACAAGGTTAAACCTATTTTGCAGCAATTATATTGCCTACCTTATAGAAACCAGCAAGAAACGATGAAATGAATTGGTCATAGTAGCTTATTTGTCTATCTTATTCACATAGGTAAAGCATGTTATTAGGAATTTCACACCTAAGAAACTTTAAAACCAGTTTGTAAACATATGTGAGAAAACAGGCATTTTGAAAGTTTTTAGTGGGTGTAAATAGCACCAACCAAGTGATTCTGTAAGAATCACAGCTTGGAAATTCTTCTTTTCTCCCTTGTGCAGGTCGAGGAAAATTTTAATACTAATTTTACAGACAGCAATACTTTTTCTGATAAATTGGAAAAGTTGAAGCTAGGAAACTGTGTCGGGAATGGAAAAAGGAAGCCAAGGAAGAGACTGTCAGGTCTGTGTTTGCTTTGTATATTTTCTGAACTGTGAATCACTGACTAGTTACTACTACAAAGCATGTCATGTCCATTTACAAGATTAACGAGAAAACAAAAGCATTCTAATCCCAAAGCTTCTTCATTGCTGTATCTTTCACTTCTATTTGTTTGTCGAAATAGTTTTGCCATTTGCAAAATTGTAAAAAGACAATTTCTTTTTTGAGTTTGAGTCACCAATTCTCCTTTTGACCGGAGAAAGTAAAGTAGTCATCAAGGTTGAGTCAGTGAAAGAAATTGGAATATACCTTGGCTAAATAGTGGAAAGTTTTAGTATGGAATTGGTAATTTGATGAGAAAAGGAAAGCTAAGGAAGACGGTGAATAATATTCGATTTATATTAGTTTAAACTTTTATAATACATATCCTTCATGTAAATCACAATGAATCGCAATTGTTAATTACACAAATTTATAAGTGTGGAGGAAATGCCTCTCATCACTCATGTCATGTATTTTACTATTTTTTATGTTGAGAAGTTTTATCATTTGCAAAATTTTGCTTTAGAGGGAAATTGAATTGAAAATATTTTGAGTTCAAGTCTCCACACCTCTCTTTACCAAGCAAAGGAAGTAGACATCAAAGACTGGGCTCATAGTTAGGTGGATATATCTTTTATCTAATTAAATTTCTATTAAATTTCTTACCACTTTGTGCAAATATGAATGTATTTGCTATGAGAACATATGAACCACATTTTTCAAACACCATTAAGGGAAAATGATGTGTCCAAGTAGGCTAAGACGTGGAAAAGGTAAACTATGGACCTAAATCATATTGTTGCATTGATGATGAGAACCAGAGACCATTTGAAAAGTTTTCTATGTCAGAAAAAGGCATAGGGACTACTCTTGTAGGTTGTTCAATGGAGAACTTGATGATTCTTTTGATGACACTAATTAAGCTTTGTACATATAATAAAAGCATCTAAGGTGAAGAATGTTCTATCACGCAACGCTTTGTCTGCTAATACTAAGTTTAATGGGTAATGAATATGAGTTTGAGCGATAGTCATATTATGACTTACTAGGTTGCTAATGATATCTTTAGGATAATGATATTTAACGAGTGAACTACTAAGAAATTGTGTACACATGTTCTTGAGCTCAGATTGATGTTAGGGTATAGTGTGGTGAAAACTTTGTTTTATGACAGCTCAACGACTAAGGTTGTATTCTTTATAAGGAAAGCTATGGAAGTGTAGTCTACAAACATACATTGATCCATGAAATATACGTGACAGGGTGACAAATAGATTATGTGGTAAGCTTTTGAGAAGAAAGTCTCTACAAGGAATGTTGAATGTGACAAAATGATGTATAGAAAGGATTATTAGATGTATTAAAGGACCTGCTAGTAGGACTCGTGTTTTTTCTGTTACGACTTCATATTGAGATCATTGAGGGCATTTGAGGCAAAAACCTTGTGGATGACCTGATTATTGGTGTTAATAAAGAAACCAGGCCAGATGCTAATGGGCAAAGCTTGAGTTGTGTGGAAAAATCATTGGAATTCTAAGGGTTAAACTTTGTAAGACTGCATTTGCAAGGCGTAACCTTGCCCACGATGGTAAATAATGTGAAGATTTGAATTGGAAGGAATGATAAAAATTGTTATTTGGATCATTATTGAAGAGGAGATTGGCGAACATGTTAGTGGTTGGATCATAGTATGAAGCATGAGGAACGGAGTGGTTGCATGCAGTGAAAGGTAACTAAGATTCCAGTAAGACATGATATGATTTATTGCGCAAATGTTGGGCACATAGAGACGATATATTTATGTTAGTATTGTATTTTTCATATTAGGTTTCCATTATGTATTATTAAGGTTTAACTGTGTACTATTTTAACTAGAATCCATTTCATGTAATATAGGGTTCTCCCTCAATAATAAAGCATTGATTGAGACCCAATTCATGTTATTTGGATCATTATTGAATACCAGTTCATTCTAGCCGCTACAATGTAAAACCTCGATTGTAGCTTGGTGTTGCCTACAGAGGATAGTTGGTCTTAGCTGAACCTATCTAGACTTTTGTATGCCCCTATCACACCACCAGACGCCTTTTCTGATTGCTATGTGCTCTTCCCTCACCTTATAGATGCGATGGGTCCTCACTAGCACCGATAAGATAGTGGTGCCACCCACATGCTAGCCACTACAATGTAAATCCTCGATTGATGCTTGTTGTTGCCTACAGAGGATAGTTGGTCTAAGTGAGCCTATCTAGACTTTTCTATGCCCCTATCACACCACCATACCCCTTTTCTGATTGCTATGTGCTCCTCTCACCTTATAGGTGTGACGGGTCCTCACTAGTACCGATAAGGTTATATTGCTTCTATTTGCTCACTTCCAATCGATCAATGCATCACTTTCCTATCTCCTTTGGCAAATGTGGTTCCGAGTTAGGGATCCTAACGAGTTTCATATCTATAAGGCCACCATGCGGAGCTTTATCTATTCTTGAATTTATGCTTTGGATTTTTTTCAGTCCCCTTGCATCAGTAATTGGACCTTGGACTTCTATGCATATTCATTTCAATTTAACATGTTTCTTTACAATTTGTATCATCCCAAATATGTTTTCGGACATCTGTCCATATCCATGGTCAAGAATCAAGAAGAAGCGGAGGCCTTTAATTCAAGAGGAGCACTGACCTGCTATGTTGCACGAAGATAGGAACTCTAATGAATGTGTGGATGCTATGCGATTTTGATTAAAGATTAGGAAGTTAAACCAACTAGTTTATCAATTCTTTCTTATTTATTTATCAAAGTTCATATGAACCATGGCCTACCTACAATAGAATTGTTTACTTTGGACCAAGATCTGAATGGTCTAAGACTTGAACTTCTGTTTACCACATTTATGTTATTATAATTTTCTTCTGCTGTTTGATAGGTTAACATCACGTATAACAAACTTGAAAACTTCATGGTTATTGATTTTATGTCTGTGTACTAAATAAATGTGTAAGCTACTCAATTGAAGCAAGCCTACTTAGTTTAGGCTAATTAGATCTCTTAGTATCCAACCCAAACCAAAATATTTTATCATGAGTTGATGTTAAGCGATTCAGAAGTTGCTTCGCTGACTGTCTTTTGAGAATATGTTTTCTTACTCATGTTTCAGTACTGTAACCTCCTACTGTCTTGTTTACAAAATGCACTCTTTCCTACAGGTTATAACTTGAACTCCATGAATCATCACTCGCAAAGATTTGTGGCACTCAAAATTATGTATTTTGGTCAGAGGTACAAAAATGATGCTTCCATCCAGTCACTTTTCTTTAATAGTTTACTATGATCATGATCCCACTGCCTGGTTATTAGATACTTAAGTGCATATCTGTGATATATTCTCCTTAGAAGAACTTCAGTTTACAATATGTGTAATGGTAACTTGCATACAATATTGTAAGTGTTACATAAACCAGGTATGGTGAGAAAAGAGAATGTACGGAGGATTTTCTTCGGCAGCTGTTAGGCATGACTTCTGATGTTAATATTTTGATTTTCACCCTAAAACTGTAATATCATTCATTTAGGATCACTTTGCACATGATCATGGTATATGACAGATGGTCTTGTTTTAAAGTTCAAAAATTACTGATAAAGGATGCCGACAGAAGTTCAGTTTCTGACTTTCTTATCGTGCTTATATCCCGAAGATTTTGCTGTTTATCATGAATTATGATTTCCTATTTTGTTGTTATGGAAACATGTGTTGCAAAATGCAAGTGAAAGGCTGTATAAAGAATTCCCTTCCCAGCCCTTACAAAAGCCGGGTAGCCTTGGTAAACCAGGGTTACCGACTGCTTCATGATTTTGCTATTGACACTTACCATGTGCAAACATGACAGGTTCTATGGTTTTGCATCAGAAGCGCAGATGGATCCAACTATTGAGGTCTGTCTTTGGATCTTTTGGTTTAATCTGTTTGTTAGCATTGTAATTTACGCAAAAAGTAATGAGGTTTGCTATTTTGGTGTCCATTATCTAATTACCATGCCACCTCTTATACGAAGTTCAGGAAAATATCCAATTGACATCATGTTCTAAGGCTCCTTTTAATATAGTCCAATCTAACTTGGAAGTCTAAACAGGCGACATTGTATGTTTCTTAAAGAGTGTAGATTGTTTATATTGAATTTAGATGGCATAGTATCTGTGACTATCTTGACATTATTTTCTGTCTTTATTGCAGTCCGAATTATTCAAAGCCCTTGAAAAGACAAGACTTGTACTTAGTGACAAGAAGGATTTGCAGTATTCAAGATGCGGTAGAACAGACAAGGGTGTTTCCTCTGTGGGGCAAGTAAGTTGACAAAAGAAGTAAGTTTCATATCTTCAATTATTTCTATTATATGAAATCACACTACCATTATTAATAGGAACTTCGATCACTATTGGTTTATTTATTCGATTATGTTTTCTAAATTTTATTTGTTTTTGTCCCACATAGGAGACTTGGGTCTTTATATTGTTTTGTGGGCCTATGGATGAGCCATACTACTACTATCAAGCTATTTGTAAGCAATGATCTATCATATGGCCTATCCTTTTCAAGTTGAGTTTGTTAATCTTGATACAGAATTAAGCATCTTGAACTATTATAGGCTCATGAGTTACAAATAGAGGTTGAATCCTCAGGGCTGGATTTCAGAGGAAGGATGTATTTTCTGGCTATAGCTATTAACTGTTGAGCAAGGATCCCTTCTGTAGTGCTGCCAAGAGATCTCTATCTGCTTTATCGCATGCCTTAATCATAGATTAACAATTTAATTAAACCTGCTAAAACAGCACATCTATGTAGTATTATTTTTTAGCCTGTGGTTTACAGTCTAGACATGTGGTTAATCCAGAATTTAGAAATTAGCATCTCATTTCTTCTTATGATTCCAATCAAGATTTTTTTGTTGTTGATGTAGGTTGTTTCGTTACTATTGAGGTCAAAACGTAAGGAACATGGAGGCAATACGTATGAGGAACTTGTAGACAAGGGTCAGTTACAGTCTTTTCTGTGAAATTTCTGTTTAAATATTAATCTAGTGTTGGTTATGATGTTCATCCCATAAAAGTTGAATCTTACGTAAGGTTGCTGCACTCCTTTCATTTTCGCTTTCAAATTTTCTGTGCCGTGCTTAAGCCTTCCTGGTTACTTGTTTGGCTTCAGAAATACATGTCTTGGCACTTCATGGATATTTTATGTACTCCTATGTGGCTATGTCCTGCGGAAATTGGAACTGTTTCCAATATGAGATGCCCAATACTAGTTGCAACTTTCCTTTTGGGCAAACTAATTATTCATCATGGGGGTGTACAAAAAATCCATCAAACCGCTCAACCCGTCCAACCCAACCCGCTAAGAACCCAATTGAACCTAACCTGCTAGAGCCGCCAAACCACTAAACCGCCAATTAAAAGGGTTGAAGTTGGGTGAGGCTAGCTCAACCCAACCCGCCACCTCGCTACTAATATATAATTTCAATAAAATTTTATTTATATCTATATTATATAATAGTTTGTTATATATATTAATAATGTTTATTATATAGAGATATATTTATATATATTAATAATGTTCATTATATATAGATATATTAATATATAATGTTTATTATATATAATAATAATGTGTAAAATATTATTTAATGTTTATTGAGTTTATGTTTGTATTTCTTTTTAGCTATATGTATAGGTTACTGAAAGAGATTCACCACCCAAGAATGATGCCAAAGAATCTAATAAGAGAATTATTGGAATCGTTTTTGTAGCAACAATAAATGGATGTGTTGGAGAATATGAATGATGTTGGTAGATAATAGATACCTGGTTGAAGAATCTATCAATTGAAAGACTCCCTCATTTGATGGTGTACTTTGGTGGAAAGAAAATGCTAATAGTTATAGCATTTCACTACAACGACATTAAGTTCATAGGACGTCTAAAATGTCTAAGCGTCGTAATATGATACTTTATAGAACTTAAGTTTATAGAACAAAACAAAAAAGCGTTCTATCAAAAAGTGTTACAATATGTTTATAGGACGTTTTTGAAAGTCTTAACAAGTTTTTAGAACTCTGTTAAAATAAAGTGTCGTTAGTTATTTAATACGGCACGACTTGAAAAAGTGTCATATAAACACGAGTGTTCTATAAATAGACGGGACTTCTCAAAATTGTTTTCATGAAATAGCTAATACGACACCCTATTTAAAGAACCTCCTAAAAACTTGTTGAAACATCCAAAAACATCGTATAAACCTATTGTAATACTTTTAGATAGGACACTTATAGTTTGGTCCTATAAACTTAAGTCCTATAAAGTGTTTCATTTGTCAAATTTATGTAACTACTAACCCGTTAACCCAACCCAACCCAACCTGCCTCAACCCGCAAGCAAGGGTTGGATTGAGATTTTTCCAAACTGCCACAATTGGGTTGGGATGTATAAATACCGTAAACCGCCCAACCCAACCTGTGTACACCCCTAATTCATCAAAGAAAAAGCGGTTATGTTGTTTGAAAGCATCTCTTAGTAAAGGGCAGGTGGTGTCACTAATTAGGATATGCGTTACTCTATGATCACCAAGCTTCATGCCATTCTGTGTTACACTAAGTATGGATTACCTGGAGCTGTAAAATAGATTTCTGCCACAATATTGTGCCAATTTGGTTGAATTAGGCTTTGATGAGATGATCTGGACTTAGAAGATAGTTGCAACAACTAAAAGATCATATTGTTTTTAGCAATTAGCAGAAGCTCTTGGCTTGGCTTTTACTTTTTTAAATTGTTTAGATCCTTATTATCTGTTTTTTTTGGATTCCTTTTCTAGAGGGAGAGCTGGATTATGTAAGAATACTGAACGGAGTTCTTCCTGATGATATTCGAGTGATAGGCTGGTCTCCTGCTCCGGTTAATTTTAGTGCAAGGTTTGTTGTTTGGCCTTTCAGATCTTTTCACTCATGATCTCCCTTTATTGTTTCTATGATGTGCTTCAGTCAACTATTTTTTATGCAGTAATTACGTTAAATTTGAAATCAATTTAAGATAAAAGTTATTGCTTAGAGTAGACCATATAATTGTTGTCCCGACTAGGAAGTTCAGTGCAGAATGGTAAGGTTCCTGGGCATTAACATAAAAATTGGATGTCAAATGCTTTCATTATACGTTTTCGTGTTAAACCTCTTTGTTTGTCCACCATTTATGCAAGGTTTGATATCTCAATTCCTCTTGCTTTCAATGAGTTTTATCTTAAAAGAAGCCTTAATTCAGTACTGAACTTTACCACTCCCTGTGTATCCTCGACATTCATGAATTTTTGAAATGATCTCTAGTTGTGGAATGAGGGAGTAAGTATTCAAGATGAACCAGTATTCTTTTCTGTTTTGGTGGCAAACAAGAAGCCTTAAAATTGAATTGAAGAAACGTATTTGTTTGTAGAGCACGTTTTGCACTATCTTCTTCTTTATAGACTTGATATGTAAAGTAAATGCTTGATTAATTGCGGTTGGTTGTTTGCAGGTTTAGTTGTCTGAGTAGGGAATACATATACTTTTTCTGGAGAGAACATTTGAACATATTGGTATTGTGGTACACTTTACACTTACTTTCATGTTGTAATCAGGGATTATATTATTGTTTTTAACTTTTTTTTACACAGAAAGGATACAAGGATATATATAGACAGAAAACCTAGACAAAAGAGAAACCCTAAGGCCTATGGGCTTAATGGGCCTAAGTAAATATATACCGTATTTACATTCTAACACTCCCCCTCAAGTTGGAGCATAGATGTTAATCATGCCCATCTTGTTACAAATAAAAGAGATTCGCGAACCAGGTAATGCTTTGGTAAAGACATCAACAAGTTGTCTTTCTGTTCGAACAAAGGGAGTTGAGATGATTCCATCTTCTAGCTTTTCACGAGTGAAATGGCAGTCAACCTCGATGTGTTTTGTTCTTTCATGAAACACGAGATCATTTGCAATGTGTATAGCCGCCTCATTATCACAATATAGGTTCATTGGTTTAGATTGAGCAAACCCAATTTCACCTAGCAGATTACGCAACCATATTAGCTCGCAAGTGGTTTGAGCCATGGCCCTGTATACAGATTCAACACTTGACCGGGAAACGGCATTCTGTTTCTTGCTTTTCCACGAAACTAGATTCCCTCCAACCAACACACAATAGCCTATCGTAGACCGCCTAGTAGTAGGATTCCCATTATAGTCGTCATTTGTGAACCCTTCTATGACATGATGATCGTGATTTTGATAAAGGATACCAAGACAAGACTAGGAGCACCCTTTAGGTACTTCAGTATATGCCTAACAGCGTCCCAATGTGGAGTTCTCGGAGATGACATAAATTGACTTACTACACACTGGAAAAGCGATGTCAGGACGTGTAATCGTCAGGTAGTTTAGCTTTCCCACGATTCTTCTGTACTTTTCTAGGATCCTCAAGTAGATCTCTATCGCCTGCTTTGAATTTCATATTTGGAATCATTGGGGCCTCACAAGGTTTTTTTTCAATCATACCAGAGTCATTCAATATATCAAAACAATATTTCCGTTGAGACAAACATATCCCTTTCTGTGTACGAGATACTTCAATTCCCAAGAAGTATTTTAAAGGACCTAGGTCCTTTGTTTGAAACCGAGACGCAAGGAAATCTTTTAGCTTCTTGATCCCAGTCTCATCACTCCTCGTAATCACAATGTCATCAATGTATACCACTAGTAGAATACATCCGGAAGATGACGAAGTAAAGACACAGAATGATCATAAGAGCTCCTCCGTAAGCCGAACTCAGTCACTACGGCATTAAACCGTCCAAACAAAGCACGACGGGATTGCTTTAAACCATACAATGATTTACGCAGTTTACAAACTTTACTAGACTCCCCCTGAGCAACAAACCCAGGTGGTTGCTCCATATAAACTTCTTCATGTAAATCACCATGCAAGAAGGCATTTTTCACATCCAGTTGGTGTAGTACCTAGTCGTAAGTAGCGGCTAATGAAACAAACAGGCGGATGGAGGGTACCTTAGCCACAGGAGAAAATGTCTCGTGGTAGTCGACTCCATAAGTCTGAGCATATCCTTTGGCTACCAATCGGGTTTCAGATGAGCCACTGATCCATCTGGATTAACTTTCACAGTGAATACCCATTTACAGCCATTTGCCTTTTTGCCTGCAGGTTACTCTACCAAATCCCATGTATCATTATGATCGAGAGCATTCATCTCATCAGTCATAGCATCCCACCATCTAGGATGGGCCAAAGTTTCACTAACCGTTTTAGGAACAGATAAAGAATCAAGTGTAGAGATCAAAGAACGAGAATGTGAAGAAAGTTTATCATAGGAAACAACAGAAGAAATAGGGTTACGTACATGAGTGCTTGCCTTTTCGAAGAGCAATGGGAACATCTGGATTAACTTTCACAGATGAGCCACTGATCCATCTGCATTAACTTTCACAGTGAATACCCATTTTTACAGCCAATTGCCTTTTTGCCTGCAGGTTACTCTACCAAATCCCATGTATCATTATGATCGAGAGCATTCATTTCATCAGTCATAACATCCCACCATCTAGGATGGGCCAAAGCTTCACTAACCGTTTTAGGAACAGATAAAGAATCAAGTGTAGAGATCAAAGAACGAGAACATGAAAGTTTATCATAGGAAACAACAAAAGAAATAGGGTAAGTACATGAGCGCTTGCCTTTCCGAAGAGCAATGGGAACATCAAGATCAGAACCTGTGTATCAGAAGGTGGTGGATCACTCGAAGCAAGAGGATCATCATTAGGCGGATCTGCAGACGATGATGAAGATCATGATGGGTCAGGATCTGATGTAGGTCGTTGCCGTCTATTATATACATGAACTATCAGTGGTTTAGTAAGCTCTTGGGTTTGTATCAAGTCGGATGGGGTAGTAGACTCGGGAACAGGTATGGTATATACACCAACAAATCATCACCATCTCTTGGGTTGCAAGGAGTGGACATAGGAAAGAAGGGTATATTCTCATGGAATGTAACTTCTCGTGATACAATGTACTGATTAAGCATGGGGGAAAACACTTGTACCCTTTTTGAAGTCGAGAGTAACCAAGAAAGACACATTTCAGAGACTTTGGATCCAACTTAGTTATGTGAGGTCGGGTATTGCGGACAAAACAAGAACTAAAGATCTTTGGGTCGACAAGGAACAATGATTTTGTAGGAACATAACTGAGAAAGGAATTTTACCATCCAAGACAACGGAAGGCGTTCGGTTGATAAGAAAACAAGCGGTAGCAACTGCACAGCCCAGAAGACTTTAGGAACAGTCATGTGAAATAATAAAGCCCGAGCAACCTCTAGGAGATGACGATTCTTTCTTTCCGTAACCCCATTTTGGGCTGATGTGTCAACACATGAAGACTTATGAAGAATGCCATTTTGAATCATATATGACTGAAATGTTTGGGACAAATTTTCTTTTGCATTATCACTACGAGGAGTTTGAATGGAGACTTCAAATTGGGTTTTAATCTCAGCATAGGGTGAACAAAAATGTGTGAATACCTCGGCTTGATTTTTCATAAAGTAAAGCCAAGTAGTGCGAGAGTAATCATCAACAAACGCAACAATATATCTAAACCCAAGTTTTGAAGTAACATGACATGGTCCCCAAACATCAAAATGGACCAACTCAAATAGGGATGAGGCACGCTTATTACAGACTCTAGGACTTAAAATGAATACGCTGATGTTTGGCAAACTGACAAGACTCACACTGTAGAGAAGTTAAATAAGAAAACTCAGGACATAACTTCTTCAGATTCTGTAAAGATGGATGACCTAATCGACAATGAACTTCAAGTGGAGATGATGAGCTGGAACAAGTCAATGAGGAAGGTACTTGATGTTCAAATATGTATAGGCCATCAGTCTCCCGCCCTCTACCAATAATCCTCTTCGTCGACAGATCCTGAAGGACACAAAAATCAGGAAAGAATGAGACACAACAATTCAAAGCATGGGTAAATTTGCTGACTGATAAAAAATTGAACGAGAAGTTAGGTTGGCTCAATACGGAAGATAACGGAACAGTCGGGGTAAGATTGATGGTGCCAAAACCAAGGACAGGTGTGGTAGACTCGTCAATAATTGTGACATGGGAATTTGTGTTTATTGAAATTAGAGAAGATGGTGGGATTACCTGTCATGTGATCTGAAGCACCTGAATCAATGACCCATTTGGAGGCAAAAGATAATATGCATGTACTAGATTTGCATGTCTCAGCAAATGCAACAGTCGGAGCAGTGGAATTCTCAGTACCTAAAAGTCGAGCATATTCTTCTACGGGTATAGTAACAGTACTATCTGAGGCAGAGGCAACGTGCGCTGATGAACTCCTCGAATGTCTGGCCAAAAGCTTCTTACATGTGCGTTTGGTGTGACCTAACTCATGGCAGTAGTAACACTCAACATTATCAGAATCTGGAATAGTAGCCTCGGAGTCAGTTGTTCGATCACTGTGGCCACCTCTAGACCACCACGGTGACCCCCACGAAATCCTCCTCGGTAGCCACCATGAAATCCCCCTCGACCAACTAGAGCACTCTTGTGATCAGAAGTTTGAGAAGCCTGAAGATTCTCGTCCCTAAGAACACGGGCAAATGTTTCTTGAAGAGTAGGAATAGTAGATTCATTCAAGAACTGAGATTTGATCGAGTCAAATTCTGATCGCAAACCATTCAAGAAACTGATAACAGCCACTTGTTTCCTCTGAGTGTGCATGGCTTTGACATCAACACTAATGGAAGAAGAGAGTTAAGCTTCTCATACACTTTTTTGACATATGTAGTGAGTGATCGGTCCTGTTGTTTTCTATGATCAAAGGACTTACAAACACTATAAATTCGAGAGATGTTACTTTCTCCATAATACAAAAAAATCAAGATAATCCATAAGTTCCTTAATATATATATATATATATATATATATATATATATATTTTATTAACTTGGATATCCAACCCGCTATCTGAGCCGACTAATCCCAGGGCGACCACCTGCTTTGCAGATAGCCCGGAGTCACCGCATTTGAACCTCCATGGCCACAAGGGGATTTTTATTCCTCCTTGGATTTGAACCTGGGACCTCTTGGTACTTTTGACCTTTGGAGCCAAGCGTCAAACCAATCAGGCACCACCCTTGTGGTTTGTTCCTTAACATATTCAAAGTGACTAACCAGAGATGAAATAGAAGGCTCGATAGTATTGATAATTTGCTAGTGCAAATGAACATCATTTTGGAACCGTGAATCAAAATCGTTACCTTTAAGAGGATCCGACTTGAGATGAGAAGCCATTCCCATGTCTTGGGTTCTTTTGAATTTAGTTTATGGCTTGCTTCTGCTACAATGGAACATTTTTCTTTTTCTCCTTTTGATTCTTCTATGGTATATGATTTCTCCAGGCAATGCAGAGTTCATGTAAAAGGCTTATTGGCGAACATGATTTTAGAAATTTTTGTAAGATGGATGCGGCGAACGTGCATAATTACAAACGACGCATAACATCATTTGATATATGTCCTTGCAATGGAAGGTCTGGAGCATATCCACAACTTTATTAATATTGATCTCATGTTATATGTTCTTTGTGTTCCTTTATTTCCAAGTTGAGTCATTAACGATTATATGACATTCATTAGTTCACATCATTGGCTTTCTGTATTACTCATATCAAGAAGAATTACAAGGTCTATAGCTCAAAATTTAACTGTAACTCTTACGCTGTGTTCTCGAGTTTTTTTTTTTACGAAGGAAAGGAAGGGAAAGGGAAGGAAAGTAGGGGGAAAGAAAAAATCTTGTGTTCTCGAGGTTTTCAATTAAAAATATTTATAAACTTACACGTCTACCCATCAATTATAACACTTATAAAATAAATAAGGGTATATTTGTAAAAATGATATCTTTCCTTTCCCTTCTCTCCCGCTCAAGAACATGAAAATTTATTTTCTTTCCTTCTCTTTCCTTCCTTTCCCTTCACTCTCAAGAACACAAATAAAATATTCTTTCTTTTCCTTACTTTTGTTTTCTTTTCTTTCCTTCCCAATGGCGTAGTTTATGAGACACTCATACGCTTGTCTCTGAATATTGCCAAAACCAAAAAGACCAAAGGCTTATTTCAAGTGATGAGTAACCACCCCACATTTTGGGGGGCCTGCTGTAATTGGCAGGGACTACCCTGACCATGGTCACCTCACTACAAATTTATTGTTTTGACAATGGTTAACCAGGGAGTTTCTCCCTTCAAGCAGATGGTAAAGAAGTGATGACCAAATGTAAAGTACCGATTGGCCCAAGGCTATAAAAGAGGAATATTGAACCACATTACTTTTTCTCGTAAAATAATTTTCAATGAAAATTGTGTCGGGTTAAAACGAAAGAATAATGTCCTTCCCTCTCCCCCTCTCCCCTCTTCTATATAGCATGTTTGATAGTTATGCCCACTGTAGCTGAAACCCACTTTCTGTGTCTACTGGAAAAATAAGCAGCCCTTTGATTTGCATTTGGGGTTGGTTCAACAGGTGTAGACGTTATGTTTGTGTGTGCTAGTGTTGACGTTGGGGAAAGAGAATTAAATGTATATGGTGCTTGGTGGTGACAACAAATTGGGTTGTCATTACCAAAGGGCCTTTGATCTAGCGGTATCCTGGCCTTTGGCCTTCATGCGGGGTCACGGGTTCAAACTTCACCAAGGTGAGGAGGGTGTGTGAGTTTAATGGCATTTGCCGTATATAAATATTATATACTTCAAAAATAAATTGGGTTGTCATTGCCATTGGTCGATCTTAGGGACTGTAATGTCTCATTGAAGAGAATGTTTTGATAGTGGTGATTTCTGTATGAATAGAGCACCAAAGGGGAAGAGGTAAACTTATCTTAAGGCATAAATCTATGGCTTATGTACGGAGCAAATATTTCACAAAGCACTATTGTGATTGGAGGTGTTCTTTTTCTTGAAGGGACTGCAAGGTCCTGTAGCTTATGTGCCTGCTGCTGAACTTATTACCAGTTATGATGATTATTACAAATGATAAACGATTAGTTAGAAGCAAAGATGCAGAATGTAGTGCTGCATAAAGTTCTACACTTTGGGCATACACTTAGATATGGTCTGATTTAGCTGTTGCATCACTTCTACAAGTTTTCTAACACTCATTATTACATACATGCTGGATAAGCAAGATGTTCAATTAATTTTTATTTCTTTGCTTTTATGCTTCTTTCATATACTGAAGTTGGGACAAAAATAATAATTTCTTTACTAAAGCTCTTTAGTTAAACAATAATTATTGTACCTATGTCGGTTCTGCTGACTAATTACTAACCTGAGGATTTTACCTATTTGCATGTTTAACAGTGACGAGCTCATGTTATTGAAAGTCAAAGGCAGTGCTTTCTTGTGGCACCAGGTTCGGTGCATGGTTGCTGTGTTATTCTTGATTGGCCAAGGTCTCGAATCACCTGATGTACGTAATTGAGGCCCATGTTTATTGATTTGATTTCTCTTTAATTGGATGCATTTAAATAATAAAATGTATAAAAGGACCCCCTGGTTATTTACTATAATATCCATGTATTCGCCTGAGGTAGGTTGAAAGGATGGAATGGAATGTTTTTCTGTTGGCATGAAGCAGGTTAGGCTGCATAAGACAAAGGAAAGGGTCCAGGTCACTCTAGTTAAGTAGGTTACTATCTAGTTATATAGTTTTGAGACTAAATCTTCTTTTCCTTTGTACCGGTATCCTTGTAATCTGTTTTTTTCTCTTCAAAGTCTCCACCGAAAGTTATCTGAAGATATATAAAAAAGTTGTCAGGCAGATTCTGTGATACCTACCACTTCTTGCCTATTTATGATTCTTTCCTCTTTAGGCTTCAACATGGTTTTGAAATCCAGTTGAGGTGTATGCCTCAAGGCATGAAAATCGTTCTTATGGTGGCACCTCTCAACCCCTAGAAGATGTGTACATCGCTGAGGCGGTAAGCAGAGATGAGGTGTACGTCTCAATTTAGTGTGTGTCCATATGGTTCTTTATTAGAAAAAGGGTTGAAAACCCTAGAAGTATTTTTTTCCTGAAAACCAGAAAAGCCAGCGGTTCTCTCCGTTAAACAATGTGTAATTTCAGAGAAATTCTCTTGTTATTCTCATTGAAAAGCAAAAGGGGTATTTATACAGCTTAGAGACCTAACTAGAATCCCATAATTTAAGGGATATGATAACATACAAGGAAACTTACCAAACTATACAAATATCTACCAAATCTGTTACAAAAGGAAAAATAATCCCAAGAAATCAGGGTTATATTCATTGTATCAATTCCACACTCCCCCTCAAGTTGGTGCATATATATCATACAAGTTCAACTTGTCTATAAGACGATTGAATGCCGGTCTAAATAGTCCTTTGGTTAAGATATCTGCTGTTTGCTCTTTGGAAGGGATGGATGCAATGCAGATAGTCACATTGTCCAACTTTCCCCTTATGAAATGTCGGTCCACTTCAATGTGTTTTGTCCTGTCATGTTGGACTGGATTTTGTGAGATGCTAATGGTTGCTTTATTATCACAAAACAACTTCATAGGTAGCTCAACCTTTAGACGTAAGTCAGCAAAGACCCTTTTGATCCAAATTATTTCCCATATGCCATCTGCCATTGATCTTTCAGCTTCTGCACTGCTTCTGGATACAACACTTTGTTTCTTGCTTCTCCGCGTGACAAGATTTCCCCATACACTAGTACAATATCCCGATGTAGATCTTCTGCTCATGTTTGGGTATGCCCAACTTGCATCAGTGAAGGCTCCAATGGTTCAGTTGTCTCCTTTTTTAAAGAGTATTCCTTTGCCTGGACAACTCTTTATTTTTCTAAGAATTTTGTGGACAGCTTATTCATGTTCTTCATGAGGACAATGCATAAATTGGCTCACCATGCTAACTGCAAAAACAATGTCAGGCCGTGTATGTGATAAGTAAATCAACCTTCCAACCAACCGTTGGTATTGATGAATATCGACCTACTTCTTATTAGTAATGCCATCTAACCTTTTGTTGGGGTCAATTGGAGTATCTATTGGTCGACATGCACTCATTCCAGTATCTGGTAAAAGATCCAGAACGTATCTTCTTTATGACAATACAATGCCCTTATTTGACCTTGCAACTTCCATACCTAGAAAGTATTTCATTTCTCCAAGGTCCTTTACTTCAAACTCTATAGCAAGTCGATCATTCATTCTTTCCATCTCCTCATGGTCATTACCTGTGACGAGTATGTCATCTACATAAACTATTAAGGTTGTAATTTTTACCTTTTGAGAAAAATCGAGTGAATAGAGTATGATCAGATTGAGCTTGTTTGTATCCATGACTTTTGACTACTGTGAGTGAAAAGTCAAACCATGCCCTTGGGATTGCTTGAGCACATACAAAGCTTTCTCTAATTTGCACACTTTTGTGCCAAAGTTACTTTCAAACCTAGGTGGTGGCAACATATAAACTTCTAGTTTTCTATTCAAGAAGGCATTTTTCACATCAAATTGCCTAATTGGCCAATCAAGATTTGCTGCTACTGAAAGTAGAATCCTTATGGTATTTAACTTTGCAACTGGAGCAAATGTTTCTGTATAATCAATGCCATAGGTTTGTGTGAAACCTTTGGCTACTAGCCTTGCTTTATATCTTTCAAGGGCTCCATCAACATTAAATTTTGGAGTAAATACCCGCTTACAACCAACTGTGGGCGTACCTTTCGGAAGATCTTCAACACGCCACGTCTGATTCTTCTCAAGAGCACTCAATTCCTCTAGAACAACCTTTTTCCACTCATGACTTTTAAGGGCTTCCTGTATAGTGTTAGGAATTTGAACTTTGGACACATTTGAAGTGAAAGCAAAGTATTTTGGTGAGAGTTTTGAGCAAGACATGTAATTGGACATAGGATATTTAACACATGCACATTTTTCTTTTCTCAATGCTATTGGAACATTCAAGTCACATGACTTACCAAGAGATGGTTCCTTCCTCGGTTCGGAATCAGGAGCTGAGATTGTGTTGAACTCTTTGTTTGGTGGGAACCTTCGCTCATACACTTTACCGAACTGTTTTTTTTTTCACTACAATTCTCTTGAGTAACTTGTTGAGGTTCAAATGGTACTTCAGTTTATTCAGGAGGAATATTATGTTCACTTTCTCGATCTAGTGGTGGTTCTATTGGAACATCTACATTTTCCTCGTGTTCAAAGATTGGACAATCTTTGGGATTTGAGTCAAATGCACATGGCTCAAATGTAGTTGGAAATACTAGATATGAAAATTTCAAGTCTTTTTTTTATTCTCCCCCTGAAGACGAGATTTAAAGAAAGGAATATTTTTAAAAAACTTAACATCCATGGTAACAAACATTTTTCCCGTGTTTGGATGAAAACATTTAAATCCCTTTTTATGTGGCACGATTCCCACAAAGATGCATTTGAGGGCTTTGTGGTCTAATTTGCCAAGGTTGACATTGGTGTTCTTAATGAACGCGGTACAACACTTTTAAAGGCATGGAACAAAATAATCGTGACTTTGGAAAAGAACTTTCTAAAACAGATATGGGTGTTTGAAACTTTAAAGCTTTAGATGGCATTTAGTTCATTAAATATGTAGCATGCAGAAGAGCATCTCCCAATAAATATTTTGGTATTTCAGTTGAAAATAGTAAAGCCCGAGTGATTTCAAGCAGATGTTTTTTCTTTCGGCTATGCCGTTTGTCGTGGATTATCTACGCATGAGCTTTGTTGAACTATGCCTTGAGCATCTAAAAAATTCCCTAGAGTTTCAGTAAAATATTCCCTACCATTGTCACTTCTAAGAATTTGAATCTTAGTGCGAAACTGAGTTAGAATCATGTTAAATAATTTTTTGAGAACATGTTCAACTTCTGATTTTTCTTTATGCAAATAGACCTAACAAACCCTTGTATGATCATCTATGAAGGTAATAAACCATCTATTCCCATGACACGTAGTGACCTTAGAAGGACCCCATATGTCACTATGTATCAAAGCAAAAGGCATAGATGGTTTATATGGTTGTGGATGATACATACTTTTGTGTAGTTATGCTAACGCACAAATCTCACATTGAAAGGATGAGGGATATTTATTACCAAATAACATAGGAAACAAATGTTTTAAATAAAAGAAACTTGGATGTCCAAGTCTAAAGTGCCATATATAAATCTCATTATTACTCAAATCAGATGCGGTGAAGAAGCAAGAAGTCTTCTTATTAGAGTGGATTCCCTCATCTAGTATGTAGAGTCCACCACATTCATCAGCACATCCAATCATCCTCCCCCGAGTCCAGGTCCTGAAGAATGCAAATGGAAGGAAAGAACAAAGCACGACAATTGAGGTTTGCAGCGAGTTTATGAATAGAGATGAGATTACTAGAGAGTTTTGGAACATGTTGGACATTAGAAAGAATGAAGTCCGATGATATTTTTATATCACCAACTCCTGCTATTGTAGAAAAAGTGCCATCAACAATTCACACTTTTCTATTTCCTGTGCACAAGGCTTATAAGAATTGAAGAGATTCGAACAAGAAGTCATGTGATCAGATGCCCTGAATCAATGATCCAGGCTGATGTATTTTGTAAGCAGCAGAAGAAGACATAGGTGTGGTTTTAAGTAATTTTAGGAGCTGCTCCATTTGATCCTTTGTGAATTGAGACTGTCATGGTTGGATTTGAGTGTCTTGAGTCGTTTCAACTGTGGTGTGTAGGGTTCTTCAGACTTACTCTTCCAGCCGATAGGCTTGCCATGAAGCTTCCAACACTTGTCCCGAGTGTGCCAAAACCTCTTACAATCGTCACAATAAGGTTTCTTTTTTGTATCTCCCCCTTGTTCTATGCCACGGACAAGTAGGGCTGCTGTGTCCCCGACGTCAGTAGGTTGGATCCCATTCGTCAATACTTATCTTTGGCTTTCTCCATCTTACTTCTAAAAAAACTTCTCGGATGGATGGAAGAGGCTTTCGGCCAATAATTCTTCCTTTAACTTCATCGAGACTTGGGTGAACACTAGCCAGGAACATGAACACACGATCATTCTTCTCTTTCTTCTGCTGCCACGTACAATCTGCAAAACTCTTCTACACATCATCGTGGCATTGATCCAATTCTTGCCATAATGCTACCATCTCATTATAGTAAGAGGTAATATCACGGTTATCTTGTTTGGCTTGCCACACATGTGTTTTAATTTCAAAGATCTGGGAAGAATTCTCCATGTTTGAATATGTCGCTAGAGCAGAGTCCCACACACTTCCTTGGCGGTTTTCATGAACATATATGGCTTAGCAATAGACATGTCCATTGAATTGAGTAGCCATGCAGTTACTAAAGAATTCTCAGAACACCATTTACGGTATCCTGGATCAGATGAGACCGGTTTTGAAGTTTCACCGGGTCAGGAAGCCCAACTTACCTTGACCTTCAATGGCGAGTTTCACAGATTGTGACCATTCCAGACAGTTTTTCCCATTCAAACAATGAACAGTGATTTGCATCGGTGATTGAGAGTAGTCAACTACTGGTGTTGATCGATCGGTAGATGTGACGGTGGAGTTTGATTCGGACTCCGGCATATTGAACCTCGGTTATTCGTTCTAATTATTAACAGCAATTAAGTTGTTGTTAAAACAGATACCTTTGTAGCTCTGATACCATGTAATTTCATAGAAATTCTATTGTTATTCTCATTGAAAAGCAAAAGGGGAACTTATACAGCTTAGAGACCAAACTAGAATCCCATAATTTAAGGGATTTGATTACATACAAGGAAACTTACCAAATCATACAAATATCTACCAAATCTGTTACAAAAGAAAAAATAATCCCAAGGAAAATCAGGGATTATATTTACAGTATCAATTCCACACAATGCAATTGGTTCTTCCTTCTCCTGTAAAGGACTTTACAGTGTTGTGCTTGTATATATATAATATATATCAGTGTCACTTTGTGTCCACTGTCACTGTATTATGGTCATATGGGATTATGTTTTACATGTTCATAATTTTATGAATTTAGTTGTTTCCTGCCTTGGTGCTTACCCCTTATCCCGCCTCAAGGCTTGCGCCTCCCCTCGTGTTCCCGTACTTTTTAAATTGTACTACAAAGTCCTAAGAACTTTGAAAATAATTATTAACATATACTTATACGTCCTTGCAGCAACTGGTATTAAGTTTTTTCTTTGTAGGTTATAGATGCTTTGCTTGACGTTGAGAAGACGCCTAGGAAACCTCAGTACAAAATGGCTCCAGAGATACCACTAGTTCTTCAATCTTGTGAATTTGAAGGTCTCAAATTTATCTGCTCCTCAGGTACTTGATTAAGTTAATAGAACCCCTAGTTTAATCCTCTTCTTAATATGATCTAACAATATAATTGTTTTCCATAATAATTGTATCCATTTTGTAACTGTTGCTTATTTAGCCAAGATTGTTTCTGCCAAAATTTGCATACCCTCCTGCTCATGTTTTATTTCCCAGCGAGCACTTCTTACATGTAGTGTATTCTTTTTGTATTTGGTAACCATGAGTGTCTGGGTCAGCTTGTCCGCACCTCGACTAATCCCATGGGGCCCTAAAGATAACGGCCAGGAAAATCCCCAGTATCCCCCAGGAGACTCAAACTGCCAACCTATGAGCCTTTATTTGCCAATTGAGCTGCCTCCAGTATCTGAGATATTTTCTTCTTAGCTTTTCATCTTCCACTTCAGCTTTGGTGTTCCTTCACATTTACCACCTCATTTTTTGTTTATAGATGAATGATAAATTCCATCTTGATTGGCTCACAGTTTATGTTGTCTCACATCCTTCCCACTTTACTTGAATTTTAATATTGTTTTCTTTAACATACCTGAACTGCAGCCTAGTTATCTATTTAACTCGGTTACACTTTCGATTGTTATCTGGTAATTTGTTTTATTTATTACCAATTTTTCATCCTGTACTAATAAAGGTAACTGGAATATATGGGTCTATTTGTTTTATTCTTATTTTAATTTTGTGGGTTCCATTTCTGTGATACGAGTATAAATAGAGAAGTTACTCCAAAATTGAAAAATGAAAAGTGGAGGAAAATGTGCTAAGAAAGATATGGTGATATCTTTGTGGTATTTATGAGCCTTAACGTTATCTAAGGGGCCATTTACCAAACGCTTTCGGGCAAGAGTCACCGCCCTCACTTACCTTATCGGGTAACATTCTCGGCTATCAAAATGGATTGTTGGTCAGCATCTTTTACCTGGCAAGTGCTTACCGGGTAAGAGTCTTCTCCCTCACTTGCCAGGTAAGATTTTCAGTGTTTGCTATGCCTCTTACCGGGTAAGATTTTTGGTCCTTGCCATGCTCACCCATAAGGTAAGTGACACTTGGTAAGCTTTTGGCAAACGGCCCCAACATTTCTATTTGCATTCATCATATTACGTTTTAAGATTTTCTATACGAGGGTTTGCCTAACCTTAGTTAACAAAGATGACTAAAATAGAACTTGGCTTACCTTTTTACCAATCAGCCACCACCATGAACGCAACAACGAAAGAAACTAAATGAACATTTTTGGCTAGATTTTCAAGGATGGAGATCTCCCATGTTAATTTTCTCTACATATGCCACCTGTTTGCTCACACTATTGCACATGCTGGGGATCTTTACTGAAACAGCCGCTCTATTCTTTGGTGTAAAGGTCAGGTTTGTGTACATCTCACTCCCCCACCCTACTTTCGATTGGGATTTACTCGGTCTGTTTGGTTTGGTTTCGTTTTAGCTCCAATATAGCATCTTAAAAAGTCCATGTAAAAAAAAAAACCAACCAAACCGGTATATCCCATCCTAAGGTAGGTCTGAGGGGTAAAATGTGCATGACCTGATCTCTAACTGAAAGAGTAAAACGGTTGATTCCATGAAGAACCCGGGAATGTGAAAGTATGGTCCTATGTATATATCAATGTGATCCCATTCTTCCCAAAAACCTACCAAATTATGTTCCGACCAATCAACAATAAGGCTTCTCTAAATCAATAAGCCCATATGCCAATCTTTAAGTAGGTATATTAATCACTTTCTAGTGGGTTGCATCTCGTTTCTGTTCAGCGGAACCATTTATGTTGCCTCAAGTCTTATAAAATTGACTTACACCGAATCACTGGTACCAATTGCGTTCAGCTCACCTTGTATGTTTTATTCTGACCTTTACGAATAGATGCCAGACGAGCTTTGCAGTTGCATTTAGAGAAGGAAAGCCAAACATACAAACTTCAAGCTGCGATTTTCCATGAGGCTCTAACAAGTCTTTCAAGCACCGAAGATGGTAAGAACTTCCAATTGAATGGATTAAAACCCTTGGTCCTTCCAATTATTGCTGATAGGATTTCAAATGTGCAGATGCTGGTGCAACAAGTAACAAGATCAAAAAGAAATTTTCGTCTCATGTTCCTCTTATGTCGCGTCCTACTGAACGTAAGTCCCATCTTTAGTGAAGTAGTTGCATTCTGTAAGTTGATCGCTATTCTCATTGGCAATTTTCAGACCACGTTATCTATTTGTTTATCGTCAACGTTACATAGAAGTGGTAGTGATTCTAGTCGACAAGATTTTCTTATTTTATCATTATTGAAAGGATAATTGAACATTTAACTTATGATCCTACCTTTTATTAAGGGAAAATGCAACATACTTTGGCCTTATTTATTTTGTGTAATGTACTTTTAAAACTTTTATTTGGACCTCATATGTGATATCTCAAACATTTAGACTGAAGCATGTTACACATAAGAAGAATTAGACCAAAGAACATTGCATTTTCATGCATCTTCGTATATAAACCAGGTGTACCTAAATGTTTGATACGTCACATCTGAGATATACCAAAAGGAAAGTTTTAAAAAATATATAGGAATCGGATAAGTAAAAAAATGGGAACGGGCCAAAGTACGTTGTAGTTGCAATTTTGAGGGATGGGACTTTTTCTATTACTATAAACCAAACCAAACCATACGAGGCCAGTATATCCAACCCGGAGTTGAGGTTTTTGGTTGGGATGTACGCAGACTCCTCTACCTCAATTTGTAGGGTGGTTGTTTATGTGAAAACCCCTGGCTTGTGAAAAGTGTGAGGGACTGTTTGGTTGGTTTCCCTTTAAGTACTATATGAATAAAGTTGTCTGTGTGAATTAGTCTGTTTGTATAGACTGTGGAGGTTTTTGTTTGGGAGGGTTTTTTTCATAGATGGAAGGTGGGTGTTTTTTAATTGGGAGGGATATGTTTGGAAGAAACTTGGTTTTCTGTAACCCCAAGAAGCTTATTGAATAAGCCACTTTCTATATCATTTAGCCACTACCAAACACTTGTATATAGCTGACTGAATAAGCTGGGAGTCCTATTAAGCTCATTAAGCTGCTAATAAACAAGTCTGAGAGTGAGATATATGCAGACTTGTCCTCTACCTTAAGGAGTAGAGCGGCTGTTTCTATGAAAACCTCTGGCTTATGAAAAGGTGTTTGAGGTGGGTTGTATGCAGACCTATCCTCTAACCTAGCGGTCTTCTATTGCTATCTGCTTATGTTATTTTACTAACAATTCAACGTTTTACAGCATCTTACGACGAGCGACGTGCTAAATTAACTTCTTCAGCAGCAGCACAACACAAATCTGTTGTGGCCAAGAAGATATGAACACTAGATGAAGCTGTGGAATCTTCTCTGTTTTTTTTCCTTTTTGTGTTCCCATCCCATGTACCATTTACTATTCCTTTTGGATTTTTATTTTTGTAACTTAGTCTTGATCTAATGTAGTGTACTTGTTAAAAGTTGGTCTGTGTGTTTTTCACACACCTTTGGTACTAAAGATGCCCAAATTCCGGGTCTTCCAAGCCCGTTTTCATTGAGCAAAAAAAGAGGCACGGGCTTTTCTTGAGCCGAACCAGGATTTGGAGGTATAGTATAAAGGGCCTGATCACGTTTTTTAAGGCAGAGTTTTCAAGATTGGGCCTAGGTGCGGGACTGAACGGGTTTTGAGACCTGGCTTTGAGCTTGGGCTTTCTTGTGCATCTCTAATTGGTGCTACCGGCAAAAACAGTAGATCAAAGATGGTATTTACATAGCTTAGTAATACGTAACACTTGTGAGTTTTGGGATTTGAAACAGGTTCTAGATCGATGTCACGAGACCAATTGGCAATAGATTCTAATCGTTTGTTTCCATTTTTAGAACACGCTTTTTCTAATACGATGGAATAAATCAATCAAGTTTGTGAGAAATGTTACGATGATTCAATGATGAAGTGGAAGTTGCAATATGATATCTTGCTTCAAAGATCTCGAGTCAAGTAGAGCACTTGTATTTCCGTATAAATGTATTCACGTGCTTTACAATTGGTCTTATTTTGTATATTGAACTTCATTTTTAATCGTTGAAAATTGTCGTGTTATAATTCTCAAACCGTTTCACCTTCTAATTTTTTGAGTATTCGATGAACCTTGAGTAGCTTAATCGATTCTAGTGTATATGAATCGTATAACTTGAACATTATTTTAAATAAAGTTTTTAAAAGTAAGGAACCGTTTACCAAATATTTACCCGGGTAAACGTTATCAAGTCACATTACTTTACCGGATGGATATAATAAGGACCAAGAATCTTGCCCAGTAAGAGTGAAAGTTACATCGAAAGTCTTACCCGGTAAGTGAAGATGACGACTCTTACCACGATTAACATTTATTGGTAAATTATACAGTAATAGGTAATAAGTTGTAAACTTGATTTTTAAAAAATTATGCATTAATAATCAGTTAATAAGTTGTTTTCAAAAGTCTTACCAAATGACGTGTTCTATGATATTGCATAGATAATTGCAACGAATTGTATTTTATTTAATAGGAATTTACGGTTCATAAATAAGCCGCAATCCATTTGAACGTTGAAGGGTTGTTCGATATTGACTTAATAAGCTTAATGGTTTGTATGGCTTATTTTGTAAGTATATATACCAGATATTTGTTTGTTGTCTATTTGTCTATTTGGTATTGGCTTAATGATTTGCATAACTTTCAGTAAACCATAACACAAGTGTTTATTTATGGCTTATTCTTTAGTTTGGTAATCGTTGGCCATGCTTAATAATTCGTAGGGCTTTCGGTAAGCCATACACGTGGTTGTTTATAGTTTATCTGCAACATAACTCCTATATCAGTTTTCTCTTTCTGTCCTATTAATTTTATCTTTCTTACATATTTCACAAACGTATAAATCTAAATTTATTTGGTTGATAATTTATAGACGGGCAGCACAAATTCGTTTAATTTATAACTACATATACCTAAACAATTTAATTTGTTTCGGAGAAAACTACGTTTTTGATCCCCGTGTTTTCGTCCCTACAATTCATTTATTCCGATTTTGTCATCATGGTTTACAATTCGGTCGGATTTGGTACCTACCATTAACGTTTGTTAACGTTTATTTGTTAAGTGAGGAGCACTTTGGTCTTTTCCGTTTCCTTCTTATTTTATTTTATAAAAATTTAATACACTTTGGTGATTAGCGAGGGCCCTTTTTAGTGACGGATTAGCAAGGACCCTTTTTAGCGACGAAAATTCATCTCTGACTTTTTGTAATTTAAAAAAAAATAAAATTATGTATTTTATATATATATATATATATAAGAGAGATGAAAGTTTCGTTAGAGTATCTCCAATGCAAGGTTCTTATAAGAACCAACACTGTGCATAATTCTTATAAGAACCTTACCCTTTTTGAGTTCTTATACAAGAACCTTGATTCTTACTTTGAAATTGGTGTGAAGTGACAATCTACACGTTTTTTTTATGTATTTTAAATTAAAACTTTGATATTTATTTATAAATATATAATAATTATTGATGTTGAAAAAATACGTGGGATCCACAAAGGTTCTTATAAGAACTATCATCGTGGACTTTTCTATAAGTTCTTAATTTGATGAGTTGGAAGTAATGTGGCAACAAAAAGGTAGGAACCCAAAATTGTTTAGCAGCCCGGGAACCACCGACAACGAACCATGTGTTCCTCTTCAAAATGAATATTCATCATTAGTAACACATTAACGATGGATATAGAAGTATTATTCATCATAAATCACACATTCATGATGAGTATGTACATGTTACGGACGTGTCATTTTTTATGAATTACACATTCATGATGAACAAACGTCATATTCATGACGTATATGACATGTTTCGCGTTATGAATGAATTTCGGGCTTCTAATCAATTTTAGGTTTCTAAGGGAACCTATCCCTATATATATGTATGTATACATATACATATACATATACATATAGTTTTGGTAATTTGCTTGAAAAGTTATACAACTAAGGAGTTGTTAGTGCCATAATGGCACTTTGAGGGAGGAGGCATGCTCTACATTCGAGGATTGATTTATCGGTGGTGTTTGACTCTAATGTTAATTGGTGATGGCCAAGCCAAAGCTTTTTAACATCCGACTCTGGGTGCTTATAAAAAAGATATGAATGCAAAGATACTTTCAAACTATACTTTCATACCCAAGTGAACTTTCAAATTACATTCAAAGTTGCTTGCAAAATTACTTATTTTCAAATGCTAAGCATCCCTCCTTTATATAGCAGAAGGAGAAGGGAGGACAAAGACTCAAAAATAAAATTAATATACAATTATTTACATTGTCCAAAAGGTAAAGCATTGTTTATCCAAAAGATAGTCAAAGAGAAAATCTTCAACATGTACCATGAGATCTTTAAAACTGCAGAAGATGGATGAGCTGTCAAAAAGAAGGATTAGACATCAAAAGATCCTCTGTGCTATTATTAAAAAAAGCCCTTGGAATCGTCCTGCATCACATGTTGTAGCATCCTTCAACCAAAACACCTATTAACATGGGTTTTCCCAAAAATCAACACATACTCAAGAAGTAAACATGTTTATTACATCAATTTAACTCTAATATAGAAAAAAGATAGAAAAATAAAATAAAAAAAAACTCAATTTGTGGAATTTTGGGAACCCAACCCAAACCGTATGGACTGGTCAGGTTGATACTTTAGTACATTAAAATATTCTTCTAACCTTGAATATGTTATTTCTCTACTTATATAATCTTTTTTCATCATAAACCATTTGATACAACTTATCCATAGTTCTTACGTATATCACATTCAGTTAATTTTCACAATTTACATACATATGTTCACAGTTACTGAACATATATACAAATGATTTATAAAGAGATGTGAATAGATTGAAAATATGTGTTTATGAAAAGCGTACATTATAGTATAATTGTCTAATGTATATATATTAATGGAAATTCAACAATCATATTAAATCCAAAAAATAAAAGGATATCAGGTTCATCGGATTAGATTGAGTTCAAACAATAGTAACTCAATATCAACCAAATACCTAACGTTTGAAAATTTTATAACTCGATTAGACATCGATTACTTCAAATTGAATTATTTCACCTTGGATTGATCGGAGTCGTCGGGTTTTTGAACACCCTTTTTATAACATATAAACCCAGGGACAAACATGTAATTTACTCTTATTGTAATAAATATCAATGTGGTATTGTGGTGGGCCCTAATGAACCGGTTGAACCTTCTTCTTCCACGTTGGCATGCAGAAATTTCAGAATCGCTCCCCCAAATAAACCCCCTTGCCGCTGCTCGCTGCTCCCTCTGTCTGCCGCCTCCGCCGCCGCTCCCTCCTCCGCCGCTGCTACCTCCTCCGCCGTCTGTAACTCCTCCTCCGTTGGATGCCGTGCCGTTCCCTAAAATCGACCCCTCTTCCTCGCCGCCTTCTTCCTCGACAGGTAGACTTTCCCTTCTGCTCATCATTGGGTATCATGTACATGGCTTTGTAGTCCTTTCTTTGCAATTTTTTTCCATTTTTTGTGCGATTTATTCCTTGCATTGATTGCAACTTCAGAAATCATTCAAATGTTTGTTTAGGTACATACATTTAATTTGATGGGTTCTTAACTGGAGCACGATAGGTAGAAACATCATATACTTTTTCCAAGTTTTTAGATACTAAAGATAAGCTTTAGGTGGTTCAATTCCTGTTTGGGTCTCTGTTTTGGTTATTACAAGACAACTATTTAGTTCCAACTAGAAATAAAATCTACAATTAAGAATTCAGGTTCTGTTTCAAATCAACTCGTCTGTTTAAGTTATGATGCATATATAATCAATCATTGATTTGATGTTCTTGAGCCATCATGTAGCCCTGGAGGCCCTAGCGCACAAATATTACACAGTTCATCAAGTGCAGTCTGAATTCTTTCTTCACTCTCATGCAATCTGCCTTACATATTTCGACTTCAAAGTCTGCTTTCAATTTGGGCTCGCAATGGGAACGGCGAAACAAAGTTCAAACCTTTCTACCATTTAAGCAAAACCTCTGTATTAGAAGAATCTCGGAACTGCCAAATTCGTTGACGACTTCAATCCACTTCGAATTTGAAGAGGAGAAATTGAGAAAAGAACTTGAACCCACATCACCTACGCTACTTCCGGTTGTTATTCGACAGTCTGATGGTGTTTCTCAATACTTTTGGGATGGTAATGCTATAAAATTGGTTTCTGTTGACGGGAAGCCAATTTATTATGATAATTTTGATGATTTAAGAGATGGGTGTCGAAGGCTGTTCAGAAGTTGCAGTTTGGGTGTCAGAAATTTCTTGCTTCCCAGAGAAATTAATGAAAATTATTTGGAATATGTGAAATGGAAGTTCTTGCACAGAGTCTTCAGTTCTGCTCTTCAAGTTCTTGCTACACAGGTATAATACTCTCCAGTTATATGGAAGAGAATGTTTCTTTGCAAATTTAGGAACTTGATGCCGAAATCTATATGTTTTGAATGGATTCTTATGAGCCTTTTATGTATTTATGAATAAAAATGCCATAGTTGTGGATGCATATGCATATGATGTAGGATGGAAGCACACTAGATACATTGTAACAAATCATAGATAAACACATGCTATAGAGAGGACAATAAGCATTTTCGAATAATTTTGTAGGCATAGTGCTGCTAGTTTTGGCCAGTTTGGCCAAATGTTAAAGATTAAAAAATGTGCCTAAAATATTGAAATTGTTAATCCAAGATAGCGCGTGATTGATGGAAATCCTTGATTTCACACGATTTATATTGAAAACCAATTAAAAGAATTTGAACTGTTTAGCTTGTCGAGACTTTCCATGAGCTGGTCGTGGCTTTGTATGTGCTCCTGAATCAAAAGTTACACACTTTTGAAGTTGGCAAAATTTCCAACGCATTTGTTATGTTTCCTGTTCCATAAATATCTCGGCCTGCCATTCAATATGTTTCGCCATGTGCTTATATGCTTTTGGATAGATCTTTATGACACAGTTTCCATCTTTGTTCAATCTTGTTTTTAGGCAGATTGTTTTTGTAGATATGACAACGAATTTGTTTATGTGTGTGTATATATATATATATATTATAGTATATAATATACTCATGCACACTTCTGACCTTTGGTGAGGTTTGAACCCTTGACCTCCCAGGAGGATAGGATTTACCGGCAGTGGTGGACTTGCATTGTTGGGTATGGGGGGAAGGCCACACTCAAAGTTCAAATTTTCAAGTAATTTTAGTAAAAGAATTACGCTTATGTCCTTAGTTCCCCCTAGTCACTTACGATGGTTCCCCCGATTCCCCAATCCGTTTTGACGAAACCCCCCACTTTCTTGCTTGACAGTTGTTCCCCTGCACATTGATTGTTTTGTTACGGCTAGTACTTGCAATCATGCTATAATGATAACATTGGTTGATGGTTTTATTAAATATATCTCATTTTCTTGTTCTTTTAGTTTAAAGATAAACCAATTCACCTAATTTTAATTTTTATATATGCTCAAACCAATTCGTCTGGAAGGAAAGCATATATAGTAAATAATAGTATAATTTACTATCTATGCTGTTACAATGGTCAAATTCTGAAATAGCGGGCAGTTTCCAGATTTGATATAGCGGTTATCGCGATGGTATAGCGGTCCATAAATAGTAGTTCATGTAATAATTACAATATACATAAATGTATGAATGTATACATAACGTGATATGTATTTTGAAGACGAATAGAAGAGATGAGCAATCTATGTTGGAAGATAATGTTGTTGTGAAGAGAAGATGCAAAATAGTAGACTGGAATAGAAGAGACGAGAGAGGAACCTAGATACCGCTGGGGCAATGACTCTTTTGGTGGATCTATTTTGAGCATCTCCAGCAAATTCTCTATATTGTTCTCTAAAATAGAGAAAATTCCAAGTTTAGAGAATTCTCTAAAACTTAATGTGTGAAGAGAGAAATTAATTTTTTATTCATTTTTACCAATGAGGTTGAATTATTATTATTTTATATAAATTCTTTTTAAAAGTGTATTAGGATGATAAATTTATAGAATATTTTAATAATATATTAAATATTGAAATCTCTAAAAGAGAGAATCTGTTGGAGTTAAATGTAATTCTTTTTGGAGATTTTGACTGTTGGTTCTGTATTTGAGAAATTATAAAGAATCTGTTGGAGATGCTCTTTTATTGCTGTAATGAATGTGCTTTTCTTTGCTTTTAATTTTTAACTCTGTGTATTATTCGATCAGTTTTGCTGGTTGGCATGGAATTGACAATTATGTCCTTTCATGGGGATTTTAGGCAATGTTCAGGGCAATTGGAATTGGATATGCTCGCTCACTTCCATCCGCAGCAGCTCTGAGTTGGGTTTTGAAGGACGGACTTGGACGGTTAAGTAGGTGCATCTACACAGCTAGCCTGGCGTCTGCTTTTGATACAAACCTGAAGGTATTTGCTGATCCATAACCATCAATCAAGATTTTGTTTGGTATATGTTTGACTTGAAAGGTGATATTAATTGTATTAAATCAACGTTCTTTTACCTTGATTGAAGAGAGTTAGGTTCTCGACATCTGTTGTTTTCAGTTTGAGCATTGGACTTGAGTTGATGACTCCTGCTTTCCCGCAATACTTTTTGTTTCTTGCATCAATTGCCAACATCGCTAAACAGATCAGCCTTGCTTGTTACCTAGCAACTGGTGTAAGTTTAAATCTTCCGACTTTCTGAATGTATATTTATATAGTTTCATTCCTAAGCATATGATTATAAATAAGATCCATCCCTGTAATGTAATTATGCATAGAGAGTAGATTCTTTTCTAATCCATGTTTGATGGAACTGCTTATTTTCTTGAACTTAAACAGATAAGAATATGCCCCAACAAGGATAAACACGCTACTTTATGGGAAAAATAATATAACTAGAACACTCTTCTAGGCATACAAAGGGTCCTTTTATATAGGACGTTGCCATGTCGGGTACAACCAAAAACTCAAAATTATGCCTAAAATGCTGAAGTTATTTACCTAAGAAATTGTTGATTAAAGGAAATCCTCTATTTCATGCAATTTGCATTAGAAAATCGAAGTACATGAAAATGCAAAAATCTCTAAATTTAGGGGAAATCGATATTGCAGCCTCATACGATGAAATTTGGGCCCGGTAGCTATGCCTAGGCGTGCGGCCCGTCAAGACCTAGTCGTGGGCTGGTAGTAGGTTCCTTAACTCCTCCCTAATTGAAAGTTATGCGCTGTTTAAAGTTTTCGTTGGCTGGTTGTAGAACCCTATTAGATCACTGTCCAAAAGTGCCCTTGAGGAGAGAAGGAAGGTTCAAACATATATTTTGAAGAAATGGTCTAAGTCTAACTGGTATGGGACGCTGACACGCCCCCTCCAATGGCGCTAGATGAGCACATATTGTCCCAGAGTGGGGGACTAGACGCTAGACGGGCACAAATTATCCCAAAGTGTCGAGTCCCTACATGGCCTTGATACCTGTGAGAATATGTGGAACCTCATTAGTTTACTCTCCAAAAGAGCCCTTGAGGAGAGAAGGGGACTTCAATACATATTTAGGAGAAATGGTCCAACTCTAGCCGACGTGGGACTCAAACATTCCTACTATTCTATGATTGTCTCAGTCAACTATTCAATTTTTTTGCATTTAGCATGTATTTCGTACTCCCATGGAATTTTATTTTATCTTGCTTTCTGACTGGCAGACTGCTGTGCATCGAAGTTTTGCAGTAGCAGATAACCTCGGTGAAGTTTCTGCCAAGGCACAGGTTGGTTCATGTTTCACTCGGGTTTTTCCTCTTTCTTACGGTTTATATAATCTTCTACGCGATCAATATTTTTCTTGTTTTAGATTCAAACAGTCTGCTTCGACAACCTTGGTCTTATGCTGGCTGCAACCTTAAATATTATGTTAAAGAACAACCAAAGGTTCGTCTTTTCTAATGAAGGATTTATAAGATTTTGATTTGATCACATTTTCACATCACCTAACTCTGATTATGCAAAAGATTGCAAGCAGGTTTACCCTTTGTCATATACCCAATTTTCACAGCCATCGATCTGTATGGTATATATCAGAGTCTGAAACACGTGCATTTGCAAACGTTAACAAAGGTTAGACTAAATTTCTGCTACTAACTTCTACAGCCTAGAGATGGGCATGACAGTCCTACGAAATCTGGTCTAGTCTGGTCTGGTCCAACCTACCCGCTCTTTTGTTCATCTCTCACTACACACAAATTGGCTTTATAGGAAGCCACATATGTCTAAATGTCCTAATAGACTGTATTACAGGACTTAAGTTTATAGGACCAAACAATTATGGATCCTATGTAAAAGTATCACAATTAGTTGATAAGATACTTTTTGGCGCCCTCACAAGTTTTTCTGGACACTTTGAAATAAAACATCCTATTAGGTGTCTTACAAAAACAACTGTTTTGAAAATCTTGTTTGGACGCTCAAAGGTGTCATATCAACTTATTGTAACACTTTTACATCTGACGCATAATTGTTTTCTACCATAAAGCAGTCTGTTAGGACATCTAGACATATTTGACGTCCTATAAAATAGATTTTGTTGTAGTGTCTACTACATGCCATGTCAATTACCTCACTTTTTCTGAGTTTAATGTTTAGGATAGGCTAGAGATGATTATAGACACATGGATTCAGCTGGGATATGTTCCTTCACCCGCAGAAGTAAGTAAAAGGGAAGGAATCAATTTCTTTTCAAGGAAAGGTTAGATGATGGTTTTTCTACGTTTAAAACTATAACGTTTAGCTGATTTAGGATTTAAGTGGTTCGATTATTTCAGGTAAACAAAAATGGCTCATAAGGATTGGTTGCTTGAATCCCAAAGGCCAAATACCAAAGCTATCAATGATGGCGATGCAATCTTTAAGTAAAGACGATTTTTACTTTGTATGCACGGAAATCGGCTTCCATGGCTTTCAAAGACATGAAGTACGTAAAAATTCTTTTTCGCCCTTTTGGTTTATTACAACATCAAGATCTTATTATGATTACCAATTCGCAGGGTATTCTTCTTTGTTTACGTGAAGGAGCAAGTACTGCAGATATCATCACGGGTCTCTTACAGGTTCGAATTTTTCTTTAAATTTCCCATCGTTTCTAATTATTGCCAGATAGAACTAGGGTCGTTAACCTGCCGAGTCAAGTCGTGTAGCAGGATGTTCAAGCTCGACTCGTGCTCAAATAACTTTATCCGTATTGTACTCAAGCTCGGTTTTTTAATGTTTGAGCTCGAGCTCAATTCTCGATTAACAAATCTGAGTTATAAGTCATACCTAAAATTCAAGCTTTTTAAGGTCGTTTATGGGCTCAAACTCGAGATCGATTAACTCATTTATCGGCTCGATCTCGATAAGTGAACACTCGAATGGCTCGACATATGTAAAAGTGTTACAACAGGATCTATTTGGGTATCATAACAAGTTTTTAAAGTTAGTTTTGAAATAACGTGTCTTGTTAGCTTTTTTGTAGGAAAGTTTTGAGAATGTCTAACTCTTGTTTTTACACTTTTTCAAATAATGTAATATAAAAAGATTAATAGGACGTTTTATTTCAATAATGTCGTAAAAAATTGTTAGTGCGTCCAAACGCGTCCTATCAACTTATTGCAAAAATTTATGTAGGACGCACAATTGTTTTGTCCTATAAAGCAGTCTATGAGGACATCTAGACATATTTGGTGTCCTATAAAGCCAATCTTCTTGTAGTGGCTCAACTCAAATTGAAACATTTGATTAAGCTTTCGAATGAGCTGAGTTGAGCATTGGTATATGGAGCTCGACTCATTAAATTAAACGAGCTATGTTTTGTGTTTGAGATCTACTCATGCCCGAGTAGCTGGTTAAAAGATTGAATTGTCAACACCCCTAGATAGAACAATGCTTTTAGACAACTGTCTGAACGATGTACGTTATTCATCAATTTTGCATCAACGATCTCAAGTTTGATTTATCTGTTATATGGTGAAGGCGTGCTACATCCGTGAGCGGTTGCCATACGGGATGAAGAAACGAATGGAGATTTTAGAAGGTTGTGACGATTCACATTTGGGTATCATCAATTGGTTTAAACTGGCAGATGAATGCAAACAATATGCAAAAGGAGATGTGAAGTTGCTAAAAGAGAAGATGGTTGAATTAGGTTGGACTTGTAAGAATATTTTGTTGAGCACCGATGAACAAACGCGATTTAGTTTCGTAGATGATTAAGATCACACTTCCACCCGAGTCGCGAAAACGGTCTTTTTGTGAAATATAACGATGAAAGTGAAGACTTCAGAGCATCAAGAATGAGAGGTTGTGGAGGTTCTTATAAGTCACTACCAATGGTACGATGTTTTATAGGTCACAAAATATTTTGAGTTAGTCTATACAAAGTTTTTTTCATTTCTTGATTATTGTATCAAATGTTATTTTATTAGTTTCTTTATATTCTTTTTGACATATATATCCATATTAAATTTAGCAAAAAGTGGGTTTTTTTTAAGCACGTAATATTTATATACGACAAATGAAGTAGTAGGTTTGTTGCAAGTCACTGCTATTTAAGTTGAAAGTTGTATGGAGGTTTTGTGGTTGTTGAGTTGGCAATTGCGTGACAGGAAACTAAGTGGACGTTTGGATCACGGAATTTGATGGAATTGGAATGATAAATTTTTTTGACCAAATTCTAATTCTTTTGTTTGGTTCGTTTATTGAAATGGATGGAATTCTTCAAATTTCATTGAATTTCACGTGTTAATGAATTCATCATTCCTTGACATAATGGAAGGAATTGAATTCTATCACCACCCACCACGATCATAATACTATTATTCGTCATGCCTCTCCCCTACCCTCCCACCACCACCACACCACTACTGTCGCTGCACCCACCCCACCTACCCTAACCACCATGCCACTACTGTCGTCATCACCACCCACCCCTAGTCATTCACTACACATCCCTACTGCAATCATGCTACCACCATTATCATCACACCTCTAACCTAACCACTCCCACCGCCTCGCCCCACCCTGTCTGCCCCCAACACCTATGGAGCAGGATGGTGGGCCGGGTTGGGGTGGGTTGGGGCGGGGTGATAATTGTGATAAAGACAGTAGTGACATGGTGATTGGTAGGGTGTGGATGGGGCGATGGGTGCAATAGTCAAAACAAAAACAATTGTTCCAATTAGGGGTGCACGCGGGTCGTGTTGGGCGGTTTATAACATTTTTACAACTCAACCCAATTATGGCGGTTTGGAAAAATCTCAACCCAACCCAACACATTCAAAAGTATAACCCAACCCAACCCTTGCGGGTTGAGGCGGGTTAGTAGTTACATAAATTTGACGAATGGAATAATTCATAAAACTTAAGTTTATAGACCATATTAAAAAGCATCATATCTAAAAATGTTACAATAGGTTTACATGACTTTTTTGGACGTTTCAACAAGTGTTTTAGAATGTTATTTAAAGAAAATGTCGTATTAGTTATTTTATATAAATATTTTGAGAAGTGTCCCTAAAACTCATCTATTTATAGGACACCTATGTTCATATACATTTTTCAAGTCGTATCGTATAAAATAATCAATATGATACTTTATTTTAAAAGCGTCATAGAATTTGTTAGGACGTCCAAAATCATCCTATAAGTATATTGTAACTCTTTTAGATAAAACATTTTTCTTGTTTCGTCCTATAAAGAACCATATTAGGACGCTTAGACATTTTAGGCATCCTACAGGATCTAATGTTGTTGTAGCGAAATGATATAACTAAACATTTTATTTCCACTAAAGTACAACATCAAATGACGGGGTATTTAGATTGATAGATTCATCAACAAAATAACTTTAGTATCATTCATATTCTCCGACATATCAATTTGTTGTTGCTGCAAAAAAGATTTCAATACTTTTCTCTTATTAATTAGATTATTTGTCATTATTCTTTGATCATGAATCTCTTTTGGTAACCTATACGTTTAGCTAAAATGAAATACAAACATAATATCAATAAAGATTATACATTATTAATATATATATATATATACACACACACACACATAGACTTGGGATCATGTGAGACCAACCTGTTTTCGTGAGATCCGTGAGACCATTTTTTTACACTTGAAGCTTCACAGTAAAATGCTGTGAAGGTAACCTTCACAGTGTTTTTGCTGTGAAGGTTCAGATTTTTTTACCTTCACAGTGTTTTCGCTGTGAAGTTTCAAGTGTAAAAAGTTGGTCTCACGGGTCTCACGAAAACAGACTGGTTTCACGTGAACCCAACCCTATATACATAATAAACATATATATAAATATATGAATACAATTTTATAAAAATTATATATTAACGGCGGTTTGACGGGTTGGGCGGGTTGAGCTAGGCCCAGCCCAATTTCAACCCTCCTAATTGGCGGGTTAACTGTTTGGCGGGTGGGCGGTTAGACGGGTTGTGTTTAATTGGGTTGTTAGTGGGTTGGGTTGGATGAGTTTTGCGGGTTGACGGTTTTTTGTGCACCCCTAGTTCCAATTATTTTGAGAGATTTCATTCTAATTCCTATCAACCAAACGTGTGGTCAAATTCCAGCAAATTCATTTCAATTCCTTCAAAGTCAAATTTCTTTGATGGATTCTAATTCAATCAAATTCCATTTTGTGAACCAAACACCCCCTAAAGGCTCTTTGGTTCGCAAAATTTAAAGGAATTTGGTGGAATTGGAATGACAAATTTCTTTGACCAAATTCCAGTTCATTTTTTTGGTTCATTTTTTGAAATGGATGGAATCCTTCAAATTTCATTGAATTCCAGAAATTAACGAGTTAATCATTCCTTAGCATAATAGAAGGCATTGAATTCCATCACCATCCACCACGACCATGCTACTATTGTTCGTCATGCCCTACCTGTAACACCTCAAGATCACATTTGCATATAAACACATATTTTCATATATCAATAAATATAATTTATACATCTGGTCTCAATATCTAAAAAAACTACATTACAAAGTAACTACCAAATTTTTCCGCAAAATCCCTACACAAAACTTGTACACATAACAAGTATTCAAATTCAAAAGATAACACATCATTCCATAATTCCATGTAAACAAATATAAACTCTTCATAATTTTCTCTTCCCCTTATCATCTGGTTGTGCCCAACCTGTAACACACATTTTTCAAACACCAAAATGAGAGTTAGACCTTGAGGTCTAGTGAGAAATCATTTTGTTTGCTATTACAGGGTGAATAATTATCAAGTCACATTTATAAACTCATATTTGTATAACAAATAAACAACATTTTAGTAAAGCAAACCTCTATTGTCGCATAAAAAAGGATGATACATTATTCAATTATCGCATCAAATAACCTAATAACTCATTTATCACATTATGATAAAAGTCATCGCATCATATAGATGAAAACATAAATTCCTCGCATCACATGGGAGACAACCCCATCTCATCGCATCATATAGGTGCGATAAATCCAACTTGTCACATCAATAGGATGTGAAAAGTTCATCTTGTCGCATCACAAGAATGCAACAAACATACTCCTCGCATCACAAGGATGTGATAACAACTATTCATTGCATCAATAGAATGCGATAACTTAAGTCATCACATCACACAGATGCGACAACTCAGTGTCATTGCATCATAAGGATGCGACAACAGTTAACAATTTGATCAAAAACCCAGATTTTACATTATGTTGATTATGTCACCTTTATCCTGATATACACTTCTCCTTGACATGTCATCCTTATAACCAAAATACATATCTCCTTGATATGTCACCCTTATAACCAAAATACATCTCTCCTTGATATGTCACTCTTATTCCAATCACTTGATATAATCATATCAAAACACCAACTCATGTTAAAAATTAGCATAAACTCAGTTCCAGAAACTTCCACGTAACGAACCATATAATTCTAATTTTAATACCATAAAAGGAAAGTTTGTAAAATAAACCCGTCGTATGATCACAAAAGATGAAGATATGAAGATGAACATCAACAAATTCAATTAAGAATCACATAATCCTTCTTCTATTTCTTCCCTTCTCGGTTTTGTGATCCCCGGCCCCGGTTTGTAGTAACACCCCCCGGTCCCTGACGGGTACGGGGATTATCATCCCGTCCCTAGTCAAATCTCTAGATATCCCCGGTCAAAACCCGGTAAAACCCCGCTCAATTTCCGGTCAAACCCCATAAATAGTATCCTTTAGTTTGATTCTACCGGGGATCCCCGGCCCCGACCCCGACCCCGGTTTGAGTAACATCTCCCATCCTCGGCCCCGTCCCCGGTTTGAGTCTACCGGGGATCCCCGGCCCCGACCCTGGGACCCGTTTTAGCGGGGAATCCCCGTCCCCGTTTGGGTCGGGTGAACCGGGTTCCCCAGCGGGTCGGGGTAAATCACCATCCCTACATGCTACTACCTTTATTGTCACACCTCTAACCTAACCCTCACTACCACACCATTATTGTCGCCGTCACAACTGCCACTCACCCCCACCCCACCTTACCCCAACCGACCCTACCCCAATCCACCACTGACCACCATGCCACTATGGTCGTCATCATACCCACCCATTCCTAGCCACCTCACCACCATTCCACCATTTTCGTCGTCACAGCTACCACCTTGTCACCCATCCTAACCGCCTCGCCCCATCGCTCACCCCGCCCCTAACCTATATCGCCACCCCATACCATCTTGTCGTCTTCACAATCGCCACTCACCTGCACCCCACCATACCTCGACTCACCATAACACTATTGTTGTCGTCATACCCACCCACTTCCAGACCCCAACCACCCGACCACTATCACACCACTATCATCGTCATAGCTACCACTCTGCCACCTACCCCGCCCCATCTTACCCTACTCCAACCCACCACTAACCACCATTCTATCACTATAATCGTCACAGCTACCACTCACTACCCCACTCTGGCCCCACCCCCACCACCCCCACACCGCCTGTCCCCAACCTATAGAGTAGGGGCCAGGCAGGAGTGGTGGGGGCAGGGTTTGGGTAGGGATGGGGCGGGGTGATAGCTGTGACGACGATAGTAGTGACATGGTGGTTGGTAGGGTGTGGACGAGATGATGGGTGAGATAGTTCAAATAAAGACGATTGTTCCAATTATTTTGAGAGATTTCATTCCAATTTCTACCAACCAAACGCGTGGTCAAATTTCATTACAATTATTTCAAAGTAAAATTCCTTTGATGGATTGCAATTCCATCAAATTCCATTATCTGAACTAAACACCCCCTAAATTTTTTTTTTTTTTGAAATAGACAAAAAAACTAAGGGGCTGTTTGGATCATAGGAATTGAAAGGAATTGAAATGAATTGGAATATTCAAT